TAGTTTATCTGATCTCTATTCTTTACTTTCGTTCTTGTCTTGTAATTCATATTCAACAGAAATATAGATTGCCTCCTGCGATCCATTTCTTGCACAAGGCGCAGCAATGCTATCTCGCTATTGGTCGAGGCATAAAAGGACGACCAATAACATTAAAGGGTATTTTTCCATATCAGGCACTGGGGTATATATAAGGCCTTAGACCCAGAGCTTAGTATAACACACATGCTTACTGGAGAAAGAAGAACATTTAGTCTCGTGTCGTTTAAGAGGTTCGATATCTACTGAGTGATTTGCAAGGTGTGTTTGTACATGTGAATTTGTGATTTTTTTTTTTATAATGGTTATTACATAAGGTTAAACAAATCACGGTGTTTATAGACTACAGTATTGAAAATAGGGGTCAATCTTCATTGTTTTCTATGCAGAATGAAGTTTCTCTTTGTTTTTTTTTGCACTAATTTGCTTGTAACATTCTGATTTCTGTTTCGATTTACCTTTACCAAGAAAATAAACGTTTGCCTTTTCATTTTAGATGAATAGCGTCCTAATCCTCCTGGTGGCCGTCGGTCTTTCGTGCCTGATGGCAGCCCAAGCAGCATCCTCATTCGGCGTTCTGGCTGGCCTTGGAGCCTTGACAAGCGCTATAAGCAAGCGCAGATATCACGGTGCTAGCCATGGACGCGGCCATGGTCATGGGTACAGAGCCCCTAAAAGAAAGTACCGTCTCCGTTATCGCCGGTCCGTTGCAGCAGCAGCTGAGGAGGATGACGATCTGATTCTCTCGGCAGTAGGACAACTGGATCCCAACACGTGCGTCCCCAAGATGTTTTGCCTCGTGCAGGCGAAGGACGAATCCGATCGCACACTGAAAGAGAACATGCTTGTGGAAGTCTTAACCGATAAGACTATGAAGGTAAACTCCTACAACGCTGCCTTCGTCTACGCTAGAGACGTGGCCACTAACACCAAGGACTCCTCTGCGTGCAAGAAAGCTTTCCCCAAATGCTCACTTGGTGAAGAGGAACTGAGTGAGCTGTTGAATGTAGCATGGGGCTGTGATTGCAGCGCGGGAGGAAAAGAGTAAAGTTGGCAGCTACAAACTGACGCTCCAGTTGGAGTTGTTGGCATCTTCCTATGGCTAGAGCCACAGAAGGGTGAAAAGGGGCCTGATGTCTCTATTGCCCGTTGGACAGTGAAAATCGTGTGTTCACTGGCGAGTCACACTGCGAAAAGAAAAGCTCTAATTGCGGTATGCCCAACGGGTGTGCACACATTATATGCATATATTCTGTGCCTCTTGATAGATAATATCTATTTGCTTCATGCCTGCGAATCTGCAAGTTGTTGATCCAAAGACAGAAGCTATTTTATTTTCTGCATCAAATGTATGGCTCTGACACCATGTTGCTGACCATGGTGAAAGTGTGATGATTTTAGATAAATAAATCTAAACATATTTTCTCGAACAATTGTCTTTGTTATTCCTCACTTTTTAACCGTCACCTGAAACATTACTTATATTCACTGCTTAGGCAGCAGGTTCCTTCTTTCCACGCAGCTGATGGATCCAAATAAATGGCATAGATTGATACAGTTTGGCACCAGCGGCGTTGTAGTGAACCTTATCTGATTTTAATTTTACAAATAAATAAACATAACCATACGCCTTAAAAGCATCCCCAGCTGTTTGCGAGTCACGAGCTTGTTTTACTCCTCCCGCCAGGTATGACTCATTAAGGCGAGATAAAGCCCTTCATTTTAACGCTTCTAGCTCATTTGATTTTATCTGCTCAGCTTTCCCTGTGAAAATCCTTTTATCCATGCATTTTATATTCAGTCCTTTTTGTATTTAGTATTCATATTTTAATATTTATTCGCATACAATCGAGATGAAAACTACCTCGTTAAGGGCCTGTCAGACCATGCTTAGTTTATTCATTTTTTGTCAACCTCCGCTGGCCTGACCTGACATGCAGGGGTCACAGAGGAATAGAAGAACAGTAGCCGGCCATCTCCCTAGCTCTTGAGGCTGTTAACATGCGCAGGCAATGCTCCACTAAGCCAGAGATCCGAGGACGGAAGACTGCAACGGAGCATTGACCTGACATATTAATCAGGGAGACGAAGGCACCCCTTTTTTTTATTATTATTCTTGGTGACAAATGTGTATACGGCTCGCAGAGGAAAACCATATAATATGTACAGATAAGTCTTGTGTTTTGTTTTTCAGAAATATTATCATCACATGTACAAACTGTTATATATTATATATAAGCCGATCTTTTAAGTAAATGTTTTAATATGTTTTAGTTCTTTATGTTACCTTTTGGAGCCTGGGCACAAGGAGTTGTGCCCAGGCTCCTTGTTTTTTTTTGTGTTTGTATTTACGTACGGAGGTGTCACAAATACACAGTTGATAACTATCATAGAAAATGCGGGCAGTGTTAAAGAAAATGGGGAAGCCCAGTGTTTAAAGACCCCTTCAGTATTTTAATGTTTAAGTTATATATGTTCCTTATTTTAAGTGTTCAGTTTTTACTTTATTTTAGTCCCTTAACTTTGTTTTTAGTCTTAGTTTTGATTTTGGTTTTATCATATTTATCCCTGGCCCACCGTGCCTTCGGAGGGTGTTTACCGCTCGGCCCGCTCCGACACGATCATCCCCAATTTTAATTGCAAGCGTAGGTAGTTGACTCCCCCCAGGGTCACTTCGACGCTTTCGTAAGGTTGCATTCACTACAGCGTCACCTGAGTTGCCAGAACGAGGTCGTAAACAACAACGAACTGCCTCAGGGACCTCGGCTGCGGATTCTTCCTCAGGGTTAACTCCCGAAGCCTTCTCATTTTATAGATGCCACAAGGCACCACTGTCGTATCTACATAAGACTCACCCAGTATTTGCAAATCCGTGTGTGCGCTCAAGTGCGCGGTGGAACGCATTCATATCGTCATTATTACTTATTCTTGTTATCGTTATTTTGTTGAGGTTAAGTTATAGTTAGCAATGCAAATATGGTTTCTTCGTCTGTCCTAAACAGCTAATTTTTGAGCATATGTCCTCTCACCGCCACCCCTTTCTCTCTTTCTCTTTTTTCCCCTCTCTCTCTCTCTTTCTCTCTTCTTTCCTCCCTTCCCCTCTCTCTCTCTTATTTCCTCCCTTCCTCTCTCTCTCTCTCTCCTTTCTTACAGCTCTCCCCCTCCACTCTCTCTGTCTTTCTCCTTCACTCTCTCTTTCCCACTCTTTCCCTCGGTTTCTCCCTTTCACTTTCTCTCCTACAGTCTCTCCCTCTCTCTCTTGTGTTCATTTTCGAGATTGATATCTCTCCTTGTAGCCGTTTTTGTAGGTACTATAAAATGGTTACCAGCAATTTGTCTCCTTTCTCTTTATAGCTATATTCCTTTCTATGCCTTCCTCCATTCTTGCCTCAGCCTTCTCCATACACAATTATCATTATGCATATCAATACACCTTAGAATCTTTCCTTTGTCTACTTTATTCTTTTACTTTTACTTTCATTCAAATGTAAACCTTCGTTGTTTCATGAAGCACATTTTAAACTCAACAAGACATCCGATGAAGTCAGAACAATACACCGAATTGAAACATAGCATTGGACTTACCCATTTCTTCGAAGTATAAAATCAGCGCGTAACTCACGAAGGTGAATCACAGTTTTTTGGTAACAATGAATAATAATGAGATTGGTCTGGTGAGTGTGAAGGTAATCTGAGAGTTATAGTTAGCAATGCTTCCTACAGGATGCGTATGTAATCCTAAATTGTTTACCAATCAAGATAGTATAGGCTGAGCGTGGCAAGAAAGTAGGTTCTAAATAGCAGCATGCTTGATCCATCATGAACATTTAAATTACAATGATGTCTAGATGAGTCCGACATGGCAGAAGATCCAACAGTTAGGTATTAAAATTATTTCACCATGATAGGGGCAGCGCTATACTTAACTACAACATGGCAACATAGATTCAACATGACAGCAAGAAAAGTCAAACACATTTGGAATCAAAGACAAAAAATTGAACACGACAGATACTGTAAACTGGACACGATAACCTGATGGGATGGTAGTGAGAACCGTGCAAGGCCTACGTAGCTTTGATTGAAACTGGCCCGTTTTAGATACTATATTTTAGACATAGTCATTTATCATAGTGTAAATGAGTTGAGCTATTTACAACAAGTATCGCATAACGTCTTTGATAGAAAATCTGCAAGGAAACATGTATGTTAAAAATAAATAGTAACATGCATAGGTAGCCAACTATTTGAGTTAAAAGACACGATTGAGAAAGCGTAATCAAATGATACGTAGTAATGTTATCTGTGTCACTACTGTTTTCATCATTATCACCCTTCATTATTCATATTATCACTGATAATGCATACTCTTGATCCATTATTATTATTATCATCATCAGGAATATGCAACTGAGTAATGCTACTAATAATAATCTATTTGTGATTTTGACACGGATGTATTCATTTACACAGTAATTAGAGCAATGGGATTACGTAATTCCGGTGGTAGAGATGGTTTGATGATAAAAATGAATTTGTAATATTAGATTTTACGGAATCTTCTATTTTTTGGGTAAGTACGAATGTACTCCTTGCTTATTTCTATTTTTCCAGAAGAGATTCGGAGTTATTTTTTTTATCATTGTTAATTGATTATACTTCTTCTTCTGTTTTCATTTCTGTGATGGCCAACTTTATACAGTCATGTAGTTTATCTGATCTCTATTCTTTACTTTCGTCCTTGTCTTGTAATTCATATTCAACAGAAATACAGATTGCCTCCTGCGATCCATTTCTTGCAAAAGGCGCAGCAATGCTGTCTCGCTATTGGTCGAGGCATAAAAGGACGACCAATAACATTAAAGGGTATTTTTCCATATCAGGCACTGGGGTATATATAAGGCCTTAGACCCAGAGCTTAGTATAACACACATGCTTACTGGAGAAAGAAGAACATTTAGTCTCGTGTCTTTTAAGAGGTTCAATATTTACTGAGTGATTTGCAAGGTGTGTGTGTGTGTGTGTGTACAGGGGAATTTGTGATTTTTTTTTTTTTTATCTGGTTACTACATAAGGTTAATCAAATCACGGTGTTTATAGACTACAGTATTGAACATAGGGGGTCAATCTCCATTGTTTTCTATGCAGAATGAAGTTTCTCTTTGTTTTTTGCACTAATTTGCTTGTAACATTCTGATTTCTGTTGTGATTTACTATGCTAAGAGAATAAACGCTTGCCTTTTCATTTTAGATGAATAGCACCCTAATCCTCCTGGTGGCCGTTGGTCTTTCGTGCTTGATGGCAGCCCAAGCAGCATCCTCATTCGGCGTTCTGGCTGGCCTAGGAGCCTTGACGAGCGCTATAAGTAAGCGCAGATATCACGGTGCTAGCCATGGACGCGGCCATGGTCATGGGTACAGAGCCCCTAAAAGAAAGTACCGTCTCCGTTATCGCCGATCCGTTGCAGCAGCAGCTGAGGAAGATGACGATCTGATTTTATCGGCAGTAGGACAACTGGATCCCAACACGTGCGTCCCCAAGATGTTTTGCCTCGTGCAGGCGAAGGACGAATCTGATCGCACACTGAAAGAGAACATGCTTGTGGAAGTCTTAACCGATAAGACTATGAAGCCAAACTCCTACAACGCTGCTTTCGTCTACGCTAGAGACGTGGCCACTAACACCAAAGACTCCTCTGCGTGCAAGAAAGCTTTCCCCAAATGCTCACTTGGTGAAGAGGAACTGAGTGAGCTGTTGAATGTAGCATGGGGCTGTGACTGCAGCGCGGGAGGAAAAGAGTAAAGTTGGCAGCTACAAACTGCGCTGCAGTTGGAGTTGTTGGCATCTTCCTATGGCTAGAGCCACTGAAGGGTGAAAAGGGGCCTGATGTCTCTATTGCCCGTTGGACAGTGAAAATCGTGTGTTCACTGGCGAGTCACACTGCGAAAAGAAAAGCTCTAATTGCCCAACGGGTGTGCACACATTATATGCAGATATTCTGTGCCTCTTGGTAGATAATATTTATTTGCTTCATGCCTGCGAATCTGCGAGTTGTTGATCCAATGACAGAAGCTATTTTATTTTCTGCACCAATGTATGGTTCTGACACCATGTTGCTGACCATGGTGAAAGTGTTATGATTTTAGACAAATAAATCAAAATATATTTTCTAGAACAATTGTCTTTGTTATTCCTCACTTTGTAACCGTCACCTGAAACATTACTTGCACACTATACAGGAATTCTGATTGATAAAGATAAATCTATATCTATATTTATATATCTGTATCCATATTTTATCTATACATATCTATTTATTAATATATGTATATATCTTTACATCTAGAAAGATATATATATATACTTATATATACATTTACATTATCTGTCTATATATAATTATATCTTTATAACTAAACATATATATATGGATATATGGATAGATTTTATGAATATATATGAATGTAAATATATTTATATATACATATATGGAGATATATACATATGTAAGTATATACACACGCATGTATATGTGCATATATATATGCATACATATACATACATATATATCTATACATATACACATATATATCTATACATAATACATATATATCTATACATGTATACACATGTATGTATGCATGCATTTTTATATACATATATACACATACATATATACATAATTCATATATATATGTATCCATGTATATAAATGTATGTACATATACGTGTGTGTGTATGTGTATGTAAACACACACACACATATAAAGAGAGATATGTATATATAAACACACATATATATGTATCCATATGTATATCAGTGTATGCATGTCATATTCATGCATATATATATATATATATATATATATATATATATATATAAAGATATATGTTTAAATGTTTATATATTTATATATATACAAATACATATATTTGTTTCTATATATACATATATATACATATAAGTTTATATATATATCTATATAATACACACGCATACACATACATATGTATAAATATATACACATGATATTCGTGAAGGATTTCTATCAAAAAAGAAAAGGTACACACACATAGACACTACCACAGATACACACATACACACCGTATATTTATGTATACATGTATACATAAATATACATGTATATATATATATATATATATATTTCACATAATCGTTTATATATGGATAAATACGTATATATATATATATATATATATATATATATATATATATATATATATTTATATACATATATAAACATGTGCATTATATGTCTATGTGTGTATATATATTTATTTATCATACCTGTATTCATATATCTATATACGTATACATATGTGTGTATATACATGTATATATATATATATATATATATATATATATATATATATATATATATATACATATATATATGTATATACATATATACATATATATACATGTATATAAATACATACATATATATCTATATATTACACATGCACAAATACATGTCTACACACACACACACACACACACACACACACATATATATATATATATATATATATATATATATATATATATATGTATATATGCACAGACACACACCAATAACTATATATATATATATATATATATATATATATATATATATATATATATATACGCATATATACATATATACATGTATTCTTATATA